TGCCAACCACCCACATTCCTGAATTGCTTGGCAGACTGAATTTTAATTGGTGTGTTCACAACGTAATGGTGTATCGGAAACTCCGTTAGAGATGGAAAGCTATAAATTTTCGACAGGTAAAGGCAACTGGATAAGCGTAGTTCTTGAGACTCACAATAGGATAATAAGTGAAAATGGCATGCCTCATGCCACTGTGATTGATCATCAAGGTTAACCACTCTAAGCTCCCAATATGTCATAAACCCACCCAAGGGTCACATCAGTTCATTTTAGATTGGAGAGAGACCATTTACCGACTGTGAGACTTAACATCGGTCACCGTAGATTCTTCCCAGGATTCTTCGGCTAAGATCCCGCATTTTCCCTGCACCCGAGCACAGAGATCTTAGGCGGAGACTACTGTAACAAACATCATCATTATCAACAAAATGTATCTGTCAATATCTGATGATGACAAGGCATTTGCAGAGGGTAGTATTTCTGGGGCAAAAAAAACCCCCAAAAGCACGAAGAAGACTTGTGGCGTCTGCAAATTCTGCTCAACTCCCCCTCATTTTAACTCACAAAGCTACACCAGCTTACTACCTTTCTATTTCTGTATTTCTACACCGGTGGGCTATCTGGTCTTATCGACAAACTAAGTAAAAATGTAGTCAGTGGTCTAGTGGTAAGACTGCTGGGCTCCCAACTGAAAGGTTGTGGGCTCAAACCTTGTCAGTAGCCTGACCTTGAGTCCTTTGGAAAAGCACTTTACACAAATTCTCATCACTTCACATAGAAGGGAACATATAGACAGTGAAAGATCTTGTCAGTTTGATAGCATCTGAGTGCTTAATCAACTGCTTGAACTGCGTGCTTCCTGGGAATCTGAGAATGTTTCTGAGTGTTCCAAAGTCAGCTGGGGTAATAATATAGATTGTAAAATGTATAGAGCTTGCTGTTGAGTGGGGATGTGCGCTATACAATCGTTATTTACTGACCTGCTTTAACAAAACTTTATCTGAGCTAACTGGAAGGGGTGGGGGGTGGGGGAGTACACTCCGCCGTCATTTTAAAAAAACCTAAATGTTGTTACTAAGACAACATCATTTGTCTGATAAAAAGATAAAAAGGAAGTTATTATGAAGTATCATATTCTTTAAAATACAGCCGAGGGATGTTTGCAAAGGGCTGGTTTTTCTTGGTAACAACATTCAGGGTTTTTTTTAGCTCAACAGTAAAATTGCAAAAACTGGATATACTGTATGTTTAACCCTATCCGTATTTCGTGTTTTACTATCGTATCCATACGACTTGGGGAACTCTGTGCCACCACTTTCCAAAGAGAAAATTAACTAGTTAATCCGATCCGTACGCTTCACATAGCAGTTTGTCAAAATGATTTTTTGAGAAATACTAAAAGTTTCAAAGAGATCTTCGTACTAGAAGTATTCTAAAATGTGAAGAATACAACCCCGGGGGTTCAAAATGACCCCAGGGCGTACGGAGAGGTTTAAAAATGACGGCAGTACACGTGATGACAAACTGATAGACACACTGGAGGTGGCAAGGGTAGAGGAAATCGTGTTGGAACATGGGTTCTGCCACACAAGCAAACACACTGCCACACAAGCAAACATATAAACTGACAGAAAGACAGACAAACAGACAGACTGGAGGCAGTAAGCGAGCAACAGAGAGTGATGAAAGTAATTACCGTGCGTGAGCTTCTCGGCGCGCGCCTTGTCCTTCTGGAAGCAGAGAGCGGTAGCCAGGTAACTCGCCCCGCCCAGCACGCAGATGAAGGTCGTCAGGTACAGCGCCGTCTGCATGGACAGGAACTGGATGGACGGGCGAATGGGGTCAACGTAGTCCGCGGCCACCGAGTCGGCAATCTGGGGACGTGGAATATCAAAGAGTTTTTTTGTTTTAGTAAGAATTTAACGCCACTAGCAACACAATAAGGTCATATAAGAGCTGAAGTTAGAGGTGTCACAAGAGAGTAACAAATACGAAATAGAAGGAGGAGGAGAGATCAGGACGATAGATGTTCGATAGGAAAGAAGGAGCAAACCACACCAGAGCACCCACTAAACACCCACTTAGTAAGAGTTTTACGGCACTTACAACACAATAAGGTCAAATAAGTGCCGAAAACAAATAAGAGGTATTACAAGAGAGTAACATTACATACACAAAAAAGGAGGGGAGATAGAGAAGATAGATTTTTTTATAGGAAAGAAGGAGCAAACCACACAAGAGAACCCACCAACCATCAATGGAATATCATGTGAACACCATCTGCAAACCTCTTCGGTGCTGAGGGGGGGCGGGGGGGGGCGTTTCTACTGGATTTTTAGCTAAGCTCGTTAGCTAGGACAGAAGTCTCATGTCTCAGAGTCAGAAGAATCGCTGTCTAGATCTAGCCCACTCATGACATATTCAGACATCGGGACTTCGATAGACTCACTTTCCTCATTTCCCATATTACCCATATTTGACGAAACTTGCAAATCTAAGTCAAAAAGTGATATTTGCTGACTTTTAAAGTCAGTCATCTTGGTGTTTATGTTTTGCAAGGGCACGCGTTCACCCACAAGACTAGACTTGCGGTTATCAATTACTCGCAAGCCTGGCAGTAAACTAACAGCAGCAAATTTGGTGCTAATATGCTCTTTTTTTATTCCGAAATACCAATGTTGGATGTGCTTGTGACTAAATCTCCAGAGAGAAGAATGATGATGATTAGCGGGACGTAAATGTAACATTATACAGGCAAACAGGAACACCAAATTTCGCCAACTTTGCACGACGTCCACGCTATGGCACAAAGCTAAAAATGATGCGAAGTACCAAATATGTTATACAGCAACGAAGAGGTTAAAGAAGTCACCAAACTTTGGCAGCCATTTTCTTACTAATTTCACATGTTACATCAGGTAACTCTGCCTTTTAAAAAGCAGATACCTCGTCTTCCATGTAAAATAGGTCAACATTTTATTCACCAGGTTCAAGAAAAATAAATACGCTTTAATTTGATAGCAAAAATTCTGTATGCCCAAAAACTGACGAACGTTGGATTTCACCACGCTGCAACACAAACTCCCTTAGCAGTCTTACCTGGCCAATGATGTACGGACTGATGGCGTCGCCCAGGGCGTGAGACATCAAAATCTGGCCAGATTCTGCCAGCGACCTCCGCGTTGGAATGACCACACACTGAGGAGGAATCAGAGCAACAATTTGGTTTTGTGTTGTTTGAGTACAGAGAAGCACCTCCACCAAAAAGTCTACACAACAAGAGGGGCCACTCCTCTCTTTGAGCCAAATAAAAAAGTGTCCTCAAAATTCGGTGGCGCCCTCTTCACAAATGCGCACCCTTTGCGAATAGAGTTACCCTACTTGAGTTTAAAAAATCAAAGTGAACTAGCAAGTTTTTGGATACATTTCGGAAGAACGCTTTTTAAAAATGGTTACGCTGACAAAAAACCTCTTGCGGAGGAAGGGGTGATTGTTTTCTTCCTTTAATTTGACTTTAGAATGAAAGGCTAGAGGTCATTAAAATTTTTTAAAACTAAAACTCTGCACTGAACGAACCCGAACTGTTGATGAACAGCAATCGATCTGCGCACGCAAGGAGGTGCTATTCCTATTCTTCTTCCGGAAAAACGAAAGAGAGCTTCAAAACAGACTGCAGCGCCATCTGAAGCAAAGAGCGGACTTCCGGCGGACACTTCTTTGGCTGAGTGGCCCATCTTGTTATGTACTATCTTTGCCTCCACACAATAATGGTCATATTTTAGTGATGAGAAAAAGCAAGATAGATAGACAGACAGAGACAACAGAGGGAAAGTAAAGATGTAGGAAGGACCTACCAGTGGCCACCTCTAACCACCTGCAAGAACTCTGTTCACCATCTCAAAGAGGATACAATAATATAATAATAACAATAATAATAAAAATAATAATAATAATAACAATAACAAGAATTTACATAGAAGAGTCTTAATCCCTAGGAGCCTCTAAGCCCTATACAATATAGAATTATCACTGAATTGATCAAATCAAGAGACAAAATACGCACATTTTGAGACCATTTAACAACACGCACACAACTCCCAGAGCCACAAACATTATCAAAGGATAGCGTTGAACAAAATAATGTGTGTTTAAACTTTTCTTAAAGCCTCGCTCTGATGTCAGAATACTATTACTAGTACTAGTACGCGTTTCCTTTGGAAGTGAATTCCAGATTTTAGAGGCATAGAAAGAAAAAGCTCTTCCGGCCTCAATTTATTCGACTTTATGGTCACTAGCATGTGTGTCCTTGAGCAAGACACGGTAACCCTAGCTTTAAAAAAAATTACCTAGGCACTGGCACTGCATAGAGCGGCGACCAGCAATGCGGTTGTTGGGTGTCTGTACTGGTGTTTTTTTAGTTTTAGTATGAGTTTTGCGGCACCCGCAACACAATAAGGTCATACAAGTGCAGAAGATTAGAGGTGTTACAAAAAAGTAACAAACATAGACGATAAGAAAGAAGGAACAAACCACACCACAGCACCCGCCAACCACCCACTGTACTGGTGTGAGTTTGTGCACTTTTAACTGTTCATAAATAATTGTACACATATCGTTGGCCACCTGTTCAAAATTGTCAAGTCTAAAATTCTAAAATTGGTTGATTTATCTTTTTGCAGTTTCTTAACTCTTTATCTCCGTGGTTGGGGGGGGGGGTGTAACACAACACAAAAAAGAAGGAAGAGGGATAAGGACGATAGACGTTCGAAAGGAAAGAAGAAGCAAACCACACCAGAGTACCCGCCAACCACCCATCTACTTAACTAGAGAGTGTACTTTGGACAAAATAGTTCTGAGGCGACAAATTGTCTGGGCCAACAAATTCTCTCTACACTGGACACACGTAACAAAACAAGAGCGAAGAACTCACCAGAAGGATGTTTTAATAAAAGTTGTACGGCACTTGCAACACAATAAGGTCAGGCAAGTTCTAAAGATTAGAGATGTTGCAAGAGAGTAACAAACACAAAAATGAAGGAAGAGGGATAAGGACGATAGATGTTTGATAGGAAAGAAGAAGCAAACCACACTAGAGCACCCGTCAACCACCCACTCACCAGAAGGATATCAGCTGTGACGGCCCAGTTCAGACACAGCAGCGTCTCCCCGATAAAGATGAGGATCTGGCAAAGAGGAGAAGGCAAACATGTGAGCATCTGTGATCTGTCTCCGAACACGGCACATACATACATACATAGCTCTGGCAACTTTTCCAAACTAAAAAAGTAAGTGTTTTACAGCACTCGCAACTGCATAAGGTCATATGAGCACCCGGGACACACCAAACATTTTCAGTCGGTAGGAAGCTTTGAATTATACCCGGGTGACGGCTGAAACCTACTCTTATCGATTTTGGACCACCAAGGGATCTTTAACGTGCGCAACTTGCACACAGGGCCTTCGAGGTTTTTCGCCCTTGTCCAAGAATGCTAGGTGTACATCTTTCCTACCAGAAGATCAGGGGTGTGGCTGAAAGACAGCAGTAAGAAAGAGCCAAGGAGTAACATTAAAAAGGCTGCAGAAAGAGTCAGGAGCCCAGAAGGGGGGGCAAAGGAGGTGAGGGAGTGGGGGCAGAAGGTGGAGACGAAAGCAGACGACAGAACACTGCTTGAGAGCAGGAAAAGAGGTGAAAGGAGACAATTTAGAGGACAAAAATTTTCGGCACTGTCCGGATTCGAACCCGGGACCTTTTGAATGAGAGGCGAACACCTTAACCTCTAGGCCATGAGAGCCCTCACACAGAATTCAAACATACAGCAGGTCAAGATGGTGAGCATTGGCCAAGATACTTCCACCTTCTAAACCCTTTAAACGCACTTTTCTATATTCTCAGTTTTAGTAAGAATTTTACGGCACTTGAAACACAATAAGGTAATATAAGTGCCGAAGATTAAAGGTGTTACAAGCGAGTAAGAAACACAAAAAAGAAGGAGGGGAGATAGAGATGATAGATTTTTTATAGGAAAGAAGGAGTAAACACAACAGAGAACCTGCTAACCACCCACAAAAAACACCTACATTTGAAAAAAAAAAAGGGAAAGGGAGAGACAGAATGTATTTTCTCACTTGAAAACGGACTTCCATATTAACAAAGTCAACAGAGAAAAAAACCCAACAATGTGCTTACTTTGTGACCACATCTACAAAACATTTAAAAACATTTTACAAAACAACATTTAAACATTTTGTTTTAGTAAGTGTTTTATGGCACTTGCAATACAATAAGGTCATATAAGCGCGAAAGATTAGAGGTGTTACAAAAGAGTAACAAACACAAAAAAGAAGGAGGGGAGATAAAGACGATAGATGTTTGATAGGAAAGAAGGAGCAAACCACACCAGAGCACCCACCAACCACCCACATTTAAACATTTAAAGCCTGTGTGGGTGCCCATGACACTGTGGAGAACTTACCCAAGTGCCCAAAGCAGATGTTGCTGACATGACGAGGGCGAAGAACAGGAAAGGCACACACATGAGGATCCCAAACGCACAGACCAGCGGGTCAGCACGTGGGTTGACGCGGCGATATCGTCGCGCGCCCTCCGCCCCGAGGGCTACGCCAATGAAGCCTGCGGCCACTGTGATGCCCCCGAAGATGAGACTCACTCTGGCAAAGGGAGACAACACAAACAGTTTCATCAGTAACACGCTGACTCAGAATTACAAAGTTCTGACATTTTTGGCCATTTTGAGTTACTAAGACCATGAGATCACAAATCAAATGCTTCATTTGCTCTATCAAAATTGTAGGATTATTCTGGATTGTTATCAAGATAATAAAAGAATGGCATCTGAAAGAGCTTGACATGATGTCAAACTCAAAATGTATTACTTCAAATTTCTCAAAACTAGGTACTGAGTAGACAGAAGTCTAAGGTTGCAATCACAGATGAGGCTCACTCTGGCAAAGGTAGACAATATGAACAGTTTCATCAACTAGACTACAGTACTACAGTAGGCTGACAAAACGCCTTTTTATTATTCAGTCTCAGCAGGTTTCAGAAAAAAGGCATTTTGTCAGCTTAACCATTAAAGAAAAGGCGTTCTTCCAAAAATTGAATTCTAATTCATTCAAAAACTAGTCACAGTTTCACTTTACTTTTTTCACACAAGAAGGGTAACTGACAGGCTATCAATTTAGTAAATTAAAAAATTTGGCATAAAAAATTACATCAGGTGTTTTGTCAGCTTAGGGCAGAATACACCCTGAGACTGAGACCAAAGATGAGACTCACTCTGGCCAGAGTATACCCTGAGACCAAAGATGAGACTCACTCTGGCCAGAGTATACCCTGAGACCAAAGATGAGACTCACTCTGGCCAGAGGGGACAACACAATAGTTTTATCAAAGACAGTACACTTTGAAATCACAGTCATATACACACTAATATCGTCAAATCTGCTCTTAAGGCCACTCATCGAAGACAATCACACTTTGAAATCACAGTCATATACACACAAATATCATCAAATCTGCTCTTAAGGCCACTCGTCCAAGACAATCACCTGTACAAACCACCACTTCCCACTTTCACCCTTACCTTAATGAAATCTTAAATAAACATCAAATTTATGCAAATCGGATCTGGGTTCTTCAATGGGCAGAGAAAAAAACAAACAAACTGGAGAACTTTGCTTTTCTCAGAGAACTTGACAGGCCCACCTCCACCCAGTACTCTGTCGCCTGTCCTCCACTCCTCTGCATAGCCTACAAACCCCCCCCCCCCTCCAGTAACCATGACGACGATGCCTCTTACGTGGACTCGGGCTGAGGATTTCCCTCCATCTGCATGGCATACGTCATAAACGTCGGGGCCAGGAACGCCAGGGCTCCCGTCACAAACGCCACACACGTGAACCCCACAGAGGACAGCATGAAGCTTTTGCTGCAGACACCAGAAAAATTGGGAACTCTTTGATTATAGACACAGAAAAGTTTTAGTTTTAGTAGAGGTTTTATGGTGCTTGCAACTGCATAAGGTCGTATGAGCGCCAGAAGATTAGAGGTGTTACAAGAGAGTAACAAACTCAAAAAAGAAGAAGGGGAGATAAGGACGATAGATGTTTGATAGGAAAGAGGAAGCAAACCACACCAGAGCACCCGCTAAACACCCACAGACACAAAAAAACATGAATTATTGTTTCCTGGACACATTCATAAAGTGACATTTTTATGGTTCCAATTCCGCAGCTAAAGGGATTTGAAAACAACAACAAACAACAACAACAACAACAAACAACAACAACAACAAACAACAACAACAACAAGGTTCCAATTCAGTGACAACAGAAAACTTGGGAAACAAAAACATCAAATATTTACTGTGTGCATGAAAAAAGTTCTGTTGGGTTGTTTTTTTTCATGCACTAGATTGAAACAGAAGATACAAATTCTCTGACACCAACTAACAGCCTAGCATGTAGGCCGACAAAGCAAGTAGATTTTCAAGACCCAAATTTTTTTCGTAAACATGAACACATATGTACACTATTTGTAACCCCCCACCCCCACCCCAATTTCAAACAACTGGAAAATTAAGTCCCATTTTTTCATCAGGACAATAATATATATATGGAGAAAGACAGACAAAAAAAACAAACAACAAACAAAAACACCCACACAACTGAGATGGAATAAGCAACAAACTTTTTGGCCAGGGCTTTGACGTCTGTGAGAACGTCTGTGTTCCTGAGGTGCACGTCCCCACCCTCAGACATTCCCCGCGGCGGCTCTTGGCAGAAGAACACGATGAGGACGACACAGACAATACCAAGGGCTGGGGTCACCTGAAACAGTTACGCTGAGTTTTACTGCTTACTCACTTTTTTAGTTTTAGTTTTTAGTAAGAGTTTTACGGCACTTGCAACACAATAAGGTCACGTAAGTGCCGAAGATTAGAGGTGTTACAAGAGAGTAACAAACACAAAAAAGGAGGAGAGAGAAGGACGATAGTTTTTTATAGGAAAGAAGGAGCAAACCACACCAGAGCACCCGCCAACCACCAACTTGTTCACTTTCATCAGCCATGGTTAAAACAAGATAAAATGAAATCGTTTGTTTAATCTTCTCAGATCTTTGCATATGGGTCTACAAGTTGGATTATAACCAGAGGAATCTAAAAGCCCATTCATAAAAGCCACTGCTTTTATGGCACTTGCAACACAATTAGGTCATACAAAAGCTGAAGATCAGAGGTGTTATCAGAAAGTAACATACAAAAAAAAAAAAAAAAGGAGGAGAACTTAGGACGATAGAAGTTTTATAGAAACAAAGGAACAAACCACACCAGAGCACCCACCAACCACTCACATAACTATCTTCAAAGGCCAGCCAAAAATAACAGGCTTCTCAAAAGTAAATTGGCCAAAAACGTAAAAATAAGTGTTTAAAAACAAATTCTATATCAAATATCACCTTTAAAAAAATGTTTTAACAAATTTACAAAACTAATAATTTATCTCACAAAATTGTTAAACGAAGAAGATCAAAGTTAAGGAGCAAACCAAAGAACAATTTGTTCTTTTCTACTTTATTCACACTACGAAGATATTTTTCAATGATAATAAAGGTAACAATATCAGTTCTCATTCAGAGACCAATTTAAATAAGTTTAAAGCAAAGTCTAATGTCTGAAACACACATCAAAGTCCTACGATTGAGAGATCTGGATGTCTGGCAATGACAATAACAAATCTTTATTCATACCGCAGAGATAAATTAATTATGATTTTGTCGATTACAGTCGTGGAAATATCGACACTCGTGTGAGTGAGGTTCTACTGCGACGGACAAACACTAGAAAATCTCCTACCCTGAGGGCCCACTGCCACTCGCCAAGCAAAGACGCCACATTGGAGCCCACAATGTAGCCCAAGCCACTGGGGAAAGAGAACAAAACACAATGTTTTAGCTTGAGTTTGAGTTTTACGGCACTTGCAACACAATAAGGTTATATAAGTGCCGAAGATTAGAGGTGGTACAAGAGAGTAACAAACACAAAAAAGAAAGAGGAGAGATAAAGACGATAGATGTTTGATAGGAAGGAAGGAGCAAACCACACCAGAAACACTATATTTATTTCACTGTTCTCAAACCTCATGACGTGAAACTACATCAACCAGACACCAGACTAGTGAAGCAGTAAGACGCTTCGCTGTCACATATGCGGGAGACCCATGTTTGATTCCCGAGAGGGAAGAAAATTTTTTATTGAGTATCTTGGTCTCCCTCCGGGGATGTTTCATCCCTCTCAGCCTGGGTTGCCCTTTACTTGTTTTAGTATGAGTTTTATTGCACTTGCAACACAATTAAGTGATGAAGTGCCATCCATAGACCCTAACCCTTACCACCCTCGCCATCCTCTAACCCTAACCCTCCCCACCCTAACAGTTACTAACAGTCCCCTGACCCTCACCACCCTAGCCATCATCCTGTAACCCTAACAATCCTCTCACCCTCACTACCCTCGCCGTTCCCAAGCCATCCTCAAAACCTAACCATGGCCTGACCCTCCCCACCCTAGCCATCCTCTAACCCTAACCCTCCCCTGCCTAA